ATTCACATTTCCCTAAAGTGCTCTGTGTTTTAGCACGGCGGATAATTAAGCGGGTGGAGGGAGTAATTCTGATTGGCATTATAACCGCTGCGCCATCTCTGCTCACCGTTCACAGCACCACCTGCCTCTCCCTCCTGCACTCACGTTCACCATCAGAGGAATTATTACAGATATAAAGGCAAAAAAAGAGATCCTCCCCTGACAGATATTATCATTACAACCTTTTATCAAAAAGTGCAAACTTGTTTTTATCCATCCGTCTCCCCCTCCATATGTGTCTCACGCTCCATCCTTCACTCTTTTTTTAGCAGGGAGAGAAAAGGAGAACCAGAGAGAGCGAGCGCAAAAAACGAGAGGGGAAAAAAGCTAGACTGAGCTCTGTCAATTGGAGTGAGTGCACTACTAAGTCTGGCTTCACTACAAAGGTTAGCAGATCTGACTGTCAATACTGTCAGAGGAATGGAGTCTTAGGGAGGGGAGGGAGCAAAGGAGGTGGAGACACGAAGGTTAGGTGGTGGGGGAGGCAGGAGGGTTTGCTTTGAGAGAAAGAGATACTTTGATATTTCGGAATGTTAGAAGGGTGAATGTGGAGAACTGGAGGTTGGGGATCTAATTACCGGGCCATAATTGGGGGCTAGGGAATAGGTTGCCGTCCTCTCAACTCGCTGCAGATCAATTATGTTAAGAGAACATCTGTAAGTAGAACTTAATGAGGTCCATTAGAGCAACATGCGCTGCCTTCCCTAACGGTGCTTGTCAGCTTCTTGGATGAGCTGGAGTGTGCTGCTAACTAGGGACCTGGTGAAGGTGCTTAAATAGGCGAGGAGACGTGCGGGCCGGCTCAGGTCTGTTTTGCTTTGCTGCCAGAGAGGGAACGAGACTGCAAGCGAAGGAACAGCCGTCGTGGGGAGAAGGAGGGGAATCTTTTTAAAGCGGGAGCGAGGAGGAGTTGCACCGAGGTGGGCTGCGTGTTTTTAACCCGCTCGCCTGGAACTTGACAAGGGAACCGGCTATATTTGAGCTACCATCTCGTCTTAACCGGCAACTTTTCCTCGGTACAGTATCTTTCAATCAGATCTTTTTTTCCTCCTCAAACATATTCTGATCTGCAGCCTCATTAAGAAGCTTGGAAACAATTGTTCGTGCAGTGTTTTAATTTGACCCTAAACCGGAACTAATTGGTGATGGTCTTTTGTTCTAATTAAGGTTGTTAGGATAAAGGATGTAGGGATAATTGCCAACTACCTTGACGGTTTCTCTCCTAAATGAGGAAGCGAAGAGTCGGCTGCGTCTGTTACAATGTGAGTGACTGTGGTGGGTGCGCGAAAGCATTAGATTCTCTGTATGTTACTAGCAGCGGTTTAAAACTGGGATTAAGTTGAAGCTTCCGTGAAATGAATGGTCGCTGGAGATGCTCAAAGGAGGCTTAAACCAGGGTAAGAGTAACAGGAAATATATTTTTTTACTCCAATCCTCCACGAAAAAAGATTACTCCCCTTGTGAAGCCCGGTAATTAAACTCCCGCTTTCATTTCTACCACAAAAACGAACCTGCATTCCTCGGATGAAGTGGGGTGGTCGTCTGTCGGATATCCCTCTCTTTGCTGACGTTACATCGCAAGTCTGTGTGTAAGAGAGAGAGAGAGAGAGATGGGGTGAGCGAGAGAGAGAGAGAGAGCGAGAGAGAGAGGCTAAATAATAAGCAGCTCTTCATTTTAACGACGTCCGTTCGCCAAGACTGCGCGCGGGACTGTTTCGTGCGAGCGTCACGTAACGTGACGGACTGCTGCGTTCACCTCGCTCGGCACAGTCTGGTGATGGCACTCTCAGCTCATCACCCCCAATAATTCAGATATCTTCGGTGAATAATTGACGTGATAATGCGCGAGATGAAGTGGTGGCGGGAGGACAGAGAAAGAAGAAGGGATTACAGCGTCCCCTACTCTCTCTCTTTCCCGCTCCCTTTTACTTAGCTTAAAGCGTCTCCCCCGCAAATTGCATGATTACCAAGATAGCCCGCTTTGAAATAATTCAATCCATGACAAAACCTAATTACTGGCAGGTAATACCCTGTCAGCTTTAATGCATCTCATCACTCATAATGGAAGCGAGGAGCATTTTATGACCCGTCTCATTACTGCTGTATTTTAGGCAGAGAGTGATTGGCATGGGGCCACAATCTTACACTACCCAACTCTGTTACCATCAGTTCTCCGTCTCCACATTCTCGGTTTAGTCTCTTCCAAACAGGGCTGACGATAAATGACTACTTTTGGGCCATGACAGAAAATAAACTCTACAGTGAGTGTGTGATTATGTTTCCTTTTCTCTCTTACTGTGTGTGTATGTGTGTGGGGAGGGAGAGTAGGTGGCACTGAAGGCCTGTGATTCATCCTACCTCGGCAACATGGGTATCAAGCAGTGCTAATTAGAGTGAACAGGTGTAACCAATGGGCGAGGAATAGCTTTAGAAACACAGACTGGAAAAAAAAACTGAAAACAGTGAAATTTATTACTCTCTCGCACACACACATGCACAGTTTTGTCTTTCTATTCATGGACTTTAATTTTGCAGGTGCACAGCGATCACATACATGAAGCGTGAAAGTTTATGATCAATAATGGAAAATTATCATTGTGTGTCCTGAGGTAATACGACTTAATTTAGGCCTAAACGACTGAAGACAAATGCTTTCAGACAAGAGATCACACAATAGTGCTAGATACTGTAGGTTTATGCAAAAATCTTTTTTTTTTTTTTTTACTTAAAAAGGGTATTTTTAAATGTGTGATTACAGATGACACAGTCGACACTTTTTACAGCTCTTCTCTTTATTGTTATGTTTCCACTTTTTGTGATTCCCAACTAGAAGTACACGGATACTGAGGGCACTTAAGGTTTCAGGGGTTACCTGGAAAGATTTAGGTATAACACAAAATAGTGCGTAATGTGTGTGTAAAGTACACTACTTGGTGAGTTTATCTTACATCTACACTTGTTTTTTAAGAGACTAACAATATAGTTAATGCTAAATGATACCCAGTGTAATAGGAGTTAAAAAGAAACACATTTATGGTTTGGCTTGAGCCAAATTTATAGCAAACAGTTTTAGATGATATCAATGATTCTAAATCAATTAAAGCTGCTCTGAACCAACATAGTCTATGAAGTACTACTAAATTAATCACTTAAATACTGAATGAATTAGGTGTGTTGATTTAATATGAGACCAAAATATTCCTGGATTTAAAAACTAATCTGCACCTGATGTGCTCACAGGTGCTGTACTTAATCAAGTGCATATACAGTACTGTAACGCAGTCTGCATTTTCTTACACTCTAAAAATGAAATGTTCCTTAGTGAGTTATTGTGCACCTTATGATCAGCAAAGAACCTTTTTGTCATTTTCAAGTACCATTTTTGTTATATGGGATTCTTAAGTTATTTATATGCTTTTTTTGAGAGAGTAAAACGTTTTTTTTTTTTTGTTGTTTTTAATGATATGTTCTCCATATCAGCATACTGGCTTCTGGCTCTGTTAAAGCATCATTATAAAGATGTCTTTAAGATAAAAAAGTTATTTGTGAAACTTAAGGTTCTTATATAAGGCATCAGGGTGTGAAAGCCTTTTTCTGTTCTATTTACGATTCAAACAGATGCAAGTGCACAAACACCTGTCGCCAAAATGACAGACATATGCATGCATATACATAACTGTGTGCGTTTTATGAATCAGACCGGCTCTGCTATAAAACACTAAGTAGCACCACGAAATTGTTGCCTAGCTGCTAAAACAAAGAGAGAGAGAGCGAGTCTAAACCTGTAGTACAGAGCTCATAGCATGTTGGCGCGCGCGTCTCAGAGAGGTGAGCATTAAGTTTGTGTTAGCGAGCGCGCGCTCCGTTACTCCGACTGTCGGTAATAACCGAATGACCTTTTCCTCCTCGTGTAATGTCTCACTGGTGAGGGATTGGGTTTGAAGATAATAAAGCTAGGCTTCACTATTCCTCGTTCCTCACTCACTGATGGGCAAGTTGTTGTGAGCTTTCTCAGAGTACTCAATACATGACGAGAACACCTGTAGCTTTTGGTGCGAACTACTACTCGTAGATGATCCATGTGGACCTCATTATTTTCAGCCTGAAGATCACTCTTATCCGCTGTGCTCGTGAACTTTTGCTCCGAGGAATATTGAGTTGGAGTCGGTGCTCTATCCTAAGTTAACCTTCTGCATAACTTGGTCAAGAAGGTGAGTTGTGCTTTGTCTTTTCCGAACGGATTTGCTCTAATTCGTTTGGTCCTAAATGCACTGCGAAACTAATTGCTTAACCAAACGAGGATGCATTTAGTAGTCTTTGATGGCTAATACAAAATTCAGTCTTGCATGCCTTACGTAGACGCATAATTTGTGCATGTGATTCAAATTATTTCAGATCAACCGATCATGCAAAGTCAGGTTGTCATTTCTGAACAGCAATGGACAAAAACGAAACGATGTTTCTTTAGGAAGCTACATTGCAACGCATTATAAACACCCAAGCTGTGTGCACGGCAGTAAATAACGACTGATATAAATTACAAACAATAGCTAGACAGCTATTAACACAATAAGAGTGCACTTAAACAACATTGCAAATAGTGGATGTGTATTTATGATAATATACACACTTTATTTGCATTAAAGTTTGTGCATTCAAAAACAAGCAATTAAGAGCCGTTTTTAAAGCTTGAAAGAGATTGTAGAACGTGTTTGTAATATAGCATTCGTGTTTATATTTCTAAAAATATGGCATGCATCACTTCGTAAATGTTTGACAAAATGGGATTTCGTTTTAGTGTGTGCGAGTTCCTGTATGTTGTCTTTTGTATACATCCAACTTGGTGCCTTTTACTGTACGCGCACTGAAATAGGCGAATAGCGAGAAGCACGATAGGATTATAAGATTACGGCGAGCGCGAAGGGGTAAAGCATATGCCTTTGTCATCCGCTGTCATTTGTTCGCCGCCACTTGCCTCGCCACGGCTGCTGGTCGATCTAATTTCATAGTCGAGCACTGTTGTGACAAACGGAGTCTTAACAGCGTGTGGCGCTGAGCGATAGCGGCTCGATCTATCTTTCTTTCTTCCTCCCTCCCGTGTTTTGTTGATTGGTGTTTTCGTCGTTTTCACTCTTTTCTGGCGGAGCGAGGTGGATTGTTACTTGTAACAAAAGCGAAGCACCCTCGCGCGCATACAGCAGCTGCTCACTTTACGCGCATCTTTGGCTCGAGCCTCGTCTTGTTGCATGGTGTTTCTGGGAGCCGAAGCGGGTCAACCAATGCAGAAAAGGGAGAAAAGTTTCGGTAAGAGCTGCGTTTTGCATCCTATCAACGCGAGTGTGATATGTTTAAATGTGTGGATGGGTACTTGGGATGTTTCTATGCATACAGCGGCAGTTTTGCCTAACCTCGTACAGCTGCATTTTGCCGAAGCGACGCATTTTCCTCATTTCCCCGTGCGAATTTTCGTGGTTTGCTTAGACAATTGTGAATAGCGTTTAATATGATGTGCCGTTGCGTATCACCGTTTCTAACGCGTTAACGGTTTCATTTTGTCGTTTTGCAAGCTGCAAATCTTATTGGCCTTTTCAGTGCGCTAGGCTGCCATGGCAACAGTAATTAAACTGATAAGAGGGTGAAATGTCAGCATCTCCGGCTCGCGCAGCTGTGATGTGAAATCAAATTGGTACTTTGCGCCCGGTGTTTGCCAAGTCTCGCCTGAAATTTCTCCATCAGTATCTGCGAACAGGAAAGCGCACAAAGAGCATCGTATCACTATGCGAACGGGACATAATGAAAGATCTGAGTGAGCGAAGAAAGACAAAAAAGACACCAATGTCCCAGGCCTGTAGGGATGAGAATTTAACGATTTTGGTTGCGAATTCGATTGCGCGTAATGATTTCGGTTCTGTAACGGTCCCATTAATTATTCTTTTAGTACTCTTGAGGAGGAAATATTTCGGGAGAAACTGCGATTCGTGTTGCATTTACTGCTCTCAGCAATCTATTTGCAAACCATGAGATAATTTCAGATTTCATCAGCACCAATATAACAAATAAGACATCAATTTAATTCAGTTCTTCCAAAAGATGTATTTAGATTGACGTAATGACTTGTCGTAGACTTTTCAGAGGCGGTTTAGATGCAGTCTGATAATTGGTCCCATTTATATAAGTGAAAATGTTAAACAAAAATGTGGTGACCTAATTCATTAAGCATTCATTTATTTAATAAAATATGCCTACTGACTCATAATGTGTATCTTAAAGTGCTCAACTCGTGCCATTCAGTCAGTTAAGTACAACATAACACAGTGACAGTTCTTGGTTCATTTAGAGTCGAATATGACAAAAGTCATTTTGCGGTTCAATCAAGTGTCCGATTATTTCAGTAACAGCTCCGACTGGTACAAAAGTATAAGTTTGAATCGCTAAAAATAACCGGCTCAAAAGAGTCATTAGTTCAGGACTCGTGTTACACTGTTCGGGCTGCCTGTATTTGATTCACTAAAAAGAGCCGATTCATAAGAGTCATTGGCTCAGGATTCGGGCTATAGCACTGTATGTTTTTGATTCACTAAAAGAACCGGCTCATAAGAGTCATTTTTATCCAATCGAACTACACTGGTCTTGCTGTATAATTCTGAAAGACTAAAAAGAGCCAGTTAAGGGTCATGCATTCAGGAATCGGACTAAAGTGGTCGTGCTTCAAAGAACAGTTGTTGTTGAGTGTTCTACATCAGTAGAAAATCGTTATCAAAATCACTTGGTTTCTGTATTTGTTAAAATGGCTACCCAGGCCCCATTTCAGTGTGTTAGATTAATCTTTTGTTCACCGTTTGATATAGGAAAATCGATGAGGGCATGAACATCCCACACTCCTATTAGAAAAAAAAACAGATTTGGGAATCCAAGCCTGTGAATAGAAGGGCTAGTTAGTTTGTGCCACAATCGATTCATTTAGGACTAACCATGATTGCGGACCGAGGGTGAGGGGAGTCGAAACTCTAACTTCTTTGGCTTGGTAATGAGAGGCGGTGACTTTGTTGTGTTAACCAGGTGAGCTGGGACAGTGCAGATGAGTGGGACAGAACAAGAACGCATAGCAGAGGAAATCAGCCGTGTGCTGCTCTTACAATCCAATCCAGCCAATTAAAAGCTCAACAGATTAAACACAATGGAACAAACAGTGCGGCGGTGCTACCTGTCTGATGTGCTTCCTTGCTGTTTTCCCCTCATCAAGTCCACTCCTTTGAATAAACTCAAAATAAAGCATCATAAAAACGCCAGCGAGGTCGAAGGAATCATCATTATCCCTCGCCTCATTTTCATTGAATGTCCCTACATCTTAACGAGCATGGTCCTACAGCAGAAAGAAGTTGTTCACAGTCTAAGCCTATGGTACTGCATCAGATATTTGCTCTAGGCTATAATTATGACCCTAGAGGGATCGGCTACCTGCTGTTCCTTTCCCTGCATTGTAATGCTCAGTTGAATTGAAACAATTTCACACCTGTCCTCAGTCTTACTAATTGGTGCACTGTCTTGTTTATTTTCTGTGAGGGCCAACTGCCACGCTTTTGGCAAATCATTTTTGAAAGTAATTACCGTCAAGGCCACATGTTAAAAAAAAGAAAGTGGCAAACTCTCTCTATCTGTTAGGTAGGGCAGAGTCTTAATGGTCTCCAAATGTGTTGACATGCACGACTATTTAAAGGGATAGCACACCCAAAAATAAATTCCAACATCATTTGCTCACCCTCATGTTGTTCCGATACATGTATGAATTTCTTTCTTCTGTAGAACGCAAAAGTCTCAATTAAAATGACATTTCATTGCATTTTATTAATACAATGAAACAAGTTTCTAATGACATAAGGGTGAGTAATAATGTCAGAATTTTGCCACAAATTTCCTAAATATTATACCAAATGTTTCACAAACTTTTCTTGTCAAGACAGATTTATGCAGTCCAAACAAGGCTTTTTAATCTCTTATTCCTCTATGAATGTATTTCAGCAAGATTGCCTGGACAACGCATCGCGGCGACGAGCACATTATAACTATCCCAAGGGAGGTCCTCAATTCAGACAGAGACACTCAATTTACGACAGCTGAGAAATCTCTCGGTGACCCTCTCACTCAAAGTTCGCAATTTCTCACTGCTTGCGCTCTCACCCCCCTCCAAGAGCAGCATATACATTAGGTGGAATCTATGGCTCTGACAGCTTCTCCTGCACAAGGTGAGAAATGGGGACTGTCTCAGTGGCAGGACAACTGGGCAGAATCAGACGTACTTGTAAAAATGTAGGACAAAAACTTTTTTGGGCCGGGACAAAAAAAGAGGGGCCGGAGCGATGGCGTAGGGGGGAGCGGGTACAGCTTACTCTCCTCTGTATGGAAGGAGAATACTAATTACAGGCCTTCAGCATGAGACCACATTGTTCCCTCTCTACCCAACAAAGCCCTTTCACGCCCTGTAAAGGCCTACACAATGCCTGCTCTGGGGGCAAGTTTGAGCCCCTCCCCTAAAGCGGGGGGAAGAGGAGGATGTTAGCTACATTGGCTTCTTGTTATTGTTGACCAAAAAGTGTGTGTTCATCTCTTGACTGAAAAACACAGGACATGACTGACTGTCAAAAGTCACCAGGAACCATGTTCTCACCCTCGTGTCGCCCCTTGTCGCCTGTCTTCGCAGGTATACAAATGCTCTCCGTCCAGCCGGACACCAAGCCAAAGGGCTGTGCCGGCTGCAACCGTAAAATCAAGGACCGCTACCTTCTGAAGGCCTTGGACAAGTACTGGCACGAAGACTGCCTCAAGTGCGCCTGCTGCGACTGCCGACTCGGCGAGGTGGGCTCCACGCTGTACACCAAAGCCAACCTCATCCTCTGTCGGAGGGACTACCTACGGTAAGAGGAAAAACTTATTTGTGTCGTAATATGCACTCTAGACACTACAGATTGCAAGTTAAAAGATGTCACTGAAAACAGCTGAATCTGTACCACATTCAAAAGAGAACTCTCTAAGGGCCTTGCGCCAAATCCCAAACAAAGCAAGTGCCACAAAAAGCCATATTGCTGTTAACACTGGCTTTAATGGCTGCCCTTAACGCCCAGAGTTCTCCCATGCTGTTAGATATCCTTTGCTCTTCATAATAGAAAAGGAGCTCAAAGGGGATCTTTATGAGCCTATAAACTGCTGCCATTTCTGTGAGTTTTCAATGGATTCACTTGTTGGATCCAATCAACACACTGAGGCTTGATAGAGGGGCATTGTTTAGCAAGAGACCACCCTGGTTCTTGTTCAATCAGCTTACCTTTGTCCACTGATGGAAGGGTTTCCTTAGAAACCCAACCTCTCAATTTCTCGCTTTTCTATCTGTGTGCCCAGCATGCATCAGTTTTAAAGCAACAAGTCTGCAAGTATGGATTTTTGGCATACGGACAAATATAGACTCCAATATCTGTCATCTGGTCACCCCTAAGAATATTCTTGTTTTCTCTTAATGAGTAAAAAGGAAAGAGTGCTTAAGCTGCTTTCTTGTAGGATTGCATGATATGGAGAAAAAAATGGATATGCAATCAACCTTTGTTACAATTTAAAGCCAGAAAATAAAGACACATTCTACATGCATATATCTGGCTCTTCCTGGCATCACTAAAACTTATCAGCAACCAGCAAAGGATGATATTCTGCAAAAAGCATCCTGCAGAATTAATGACTATCAAATTGAAATCTAAAAAAATTAGAGCTTGTTTTTCATGGACTGCCTGAAGAGGTTTGTGGTATTTAACCTTTGATTGGCTAAACGCAATCAACAAATATATAGTTTTTTTTTATTATTGTAAATCATATTTAATATCTAATTAAATAATAATAATAAATAAATATTAATATGTTATATGAAATATAAAAATAATTACCAATATATAATTTTTAAAAATGTTATCTATTTTTCGTCTTACATTGGCATCACTACTGCTTGTTTACACCATGCATATGACGTCACTAGTGCACAAACTTAACATAAGACAATCATATGACTAGGATATTCTCTGAATCTCCATAAACTTTAAGGATTAATGCATTGAAATCAATAGTTAGCATTGTTACGATATTTTCAAAAATGAAATATAATTATATCATAAAATGTATCATGCAACTTTTTGTCGCGTTAATAAACCCACGTACACATGTGTGCAACGTATGTATATGAAATGATATAAATGCTCAACGGGACGCTCCAGGGAGTCACGGCTTTGCGAGCGTGCTAGAAGCTACAGTAGGCAGGAGGCGCTTTGAAATGGCACAGTTCATTTAATTTTGGCATGGGCGATGAGAGAGTCTCCATTAGGCGCGGTACACAAGCAGGCTTTGGGGAAACGCGACTGTAAAGCATCGCCAGAGGGCCAGAGGCAGGCTGAGATTACCATCTCGCAGTATGCCTCATTGACTGTGCCCTGCTAAACTGCATCTTCATTCGCGACGACGCTTACAAATTTGTGCCTCAAACAACAGCGGCGACGAGATAGATGGCACCAGACGTGTCATTAGGAGACGTGTAGATCCGTCTTCGTGGTACGGTGACGGTTTGTACCAGATGCGACTGATAAGGTTCTTGTGGAAGTGTATGTTCTGTTATGTCTCTTTTAAGAATTTTATAACAAGCTAGTGAGGGAAGAGAGAGGCCAACTGTGCCCATGTGATTCTTTCATCTTCAAAGTTCAAGGTGACTGAATTGATTCGATTCTAGCCATCACATGAGCGGTCTTCCCGTGCCTCCAGCTCGACGTCTCCTCGCCAGCAGCAAATTAGGGGCGAGCGTGGCACGGTCCCAGTTCCTCAAATCACATCTGCAACACAACAAAAGAAAAGCAGCCTCCATTGACGAGCCAATCAATCGGCAATCCTACAAAGCGCTCCGACGCACTCCTCTCGATTGGATCGTTTCCTTATTTATTTTCTTAAGTTAGTGCCGGCGAGATAAGAGATAGACTTAATCCCTTCCTCTTTGTTCTGTGTTCTATTTCGCCCGTTCTTATTCCGAGTAAATTATGCTTGGATTTATTATACAAGATTCCCCATCCCCACATCCGCACAGAATCAATCCAGTCCTGTTTAGCAGTGTGGCATGTTATTAAGGCAGACATAACCAGGGTTAATAGAATTCTTCAGGGGTCTACAACCATGAGCGATGTGATCCCACCAGCTGAGAAATAATAATCCCTATCGCAACACACACAAAAACAAATTAAATAAGGAGAAAAAAAAGATTTATGCCTTCCCAGACCTGTCTCCCTTAGTACGTATTATCAAATATGATGTGGGGTTTTTTGTAGTCGAAGGGAGAGGCAGAAATAGTTTTGGTCTGGGGAAAGGATATCATTCGATTCATATTCAAAGCACCGAGAAGGTAATTATTGATGGAAAGCACGATGCTCGTATTGCTCTCAAAGTATGGGTAAATGGTATTGGCCTGTCACATCAACAACAAATAATTATTTTGATACTGTGCAGACATCTCTATTGATGATAAAGGTAATAACCGGCGTGCCAATGTTTATGCCGATGCGGTTACATTTCATAGCGGGGAGTGATAAAGTTAAAAGCAGCAGACAAAAAAGCAACGGACACATTTAAGTTGAGAAACGGGCAAAAATAAACCCTGTCAGAAAGTAGTTACAGACAGGAAAGCCCAGAATGCAAGCAGGGAGAGGGAAGCTGTTAGGCATCAGTTAATGGAAAACTGTAAATTTCAGGCATCCATTTTAAAGACAGCACAGGGTGACCACTTATTTATTTATCTATCTATTCATTCATTTTTTTTTAATCCAACTTCAATTTTCCTCTACAGTGGTTTTACTAAGATTGTAAATGCAAGCAAACTCACAGAGCAGTCAACATGACTGGATTTATTACCGTTATGGAAAGCTGGCTATCGGTGAAAGATAACCAACATGTAAAGCATGGTTTGGTTGTAATAACTTGTATTTTATCCCCCCTTTCGGCCCTCATTCAGGAACCACTTTGTGGTACCCATCTACCTTGTGCTGTGTAAACTTTTGGAAATGAACCATAAAAATGTATCTTTCACTTTTTCATACAGTATTTGCATCTGGAGTCACGCCGTAGATTGTATGCATTTATGGATGTGCCATATGTTTATCTGTAGGTCAACAAAATGCGAGTAATCTTTGAAGTCAGGAACTTTGACAAATCGAGCTCAACGGAATTGGTTTTGTGATTCATTTCGGTCGCACACTTACAGATAAAGTTATAATTACCTAGTTGCTTGATGAAATGATGATTTCAGGATGCACATTTTGAACGAAAGGATGGTGTTAAGATAAAGTAGCTGTATTAAAAACTGCAGGTGGCTTACACACTATAAAAGAAAAAATAGCATACTTCGGATGCAATCGCTGCTCTTCACCACCATGCAAAGTGAAGTTTGCCTACTATCGCCCTTGAAAACATGAGAAGCTACATACTTGGGTCTGTGCCACGGAGAAGTCCAAAGAGTCACCACCTAAGAAGACAGAGACAAATTATTAGAAAAATCGCAGTATGTGGACTTCAACACAAACTGTGTCCAATCAGCTATTTTAGTTTAATCTATGTTTTGGGTGCTGTGCAGGTGTGCAATGCTCATTTTTTTTTACCTCAGCTAACACTCTCCTTGTAATCTGGAAAAGGTCAGAAATGCATAACTTCTTAGTTCGGAAGTTCTCTAGTTCTCCAGTGCTCTAGTTTTCGCCCTCAGCTGATAAGAGCAATTATTCTCAAATATAAACGCATTTCTTGTAAGCTGACGTGACACTAAAGTTACAAAGTTGCTGCCGTGTTGTCAGTTAAAGGTTAGGCTGGTCTCTCCGGCGGGACTAACACTGTGCAGCCTGGTGTACTTTGTCTTGTGTTTTCCTCAGTCGTTTTGAAGCTAGCTGAAAGATTGAGGCCATCTCTTGTTCTAATGACCAGTGCAGATGTTCACAAACAGTGCAGTGCTCTCTGTCTCTGAAGGGCATTAAGCAGGATTTTGGTTATAGCAAACACGGAACGCTAAAACAGAGCATTGCTAACATTTAATTTTGTTTTTCTACAGCCAGAATCAGTGTTGTGAAGTAACTATTTTGACAGTAGTTTAGGACTTGACAGAATACTGAAGCTTTTTTAGTAACTTTTACATAAGAAGCTATGTAGGTTAAATGGTACATTGCTAGTTTTTGTAATGCACACAAACTAGCGGCCTGTCTTCTGTCTCATACCAACTTTGATATGAATCAGTTTGTTTCAATGATTTATAGTGCTGGGAAAAAATCTGATTTATTTTAGTGAATCAGTTAGTTTGAACAGTTCACGGTTAAAAAAAAGTTTATTTTTCTTTAAAGAAATATCTAGTTGAAGTCCACTATTCGTCACTATGTTTTTGACTCATTTGTATAGATTAGTGTTTTAGGTGTATTTAGTACACATTTACTTATTCAAGTTTATCCTTAAATGAGATCTGTGTTGTCTTTGTGCCATATAAACAGCACTCTGATCATAAACTCTCAGGTGATTTATTTTTTATATTAAAGTTTAGAATGAGCTACTTTTCAATAGCTACTTTTTCAAAAGGTTAGCTTTAATTTACATTTAGAGGATGTTTGAAAAGCTATGACATGTTTCAAAGTATGATAAATTAATATACTGAAATGGCTTGTCGTCCTTGAGGTAATGTTAATGTTTATTTAGGCCTACCTAAAAATTGAGATGGCAAAGTAGTGATAACTGCTTGAAATGAGCTAACTACACATTTTAGCATAGTTCAGAAAAGTCTTTTTTTTTTCAGATAATATATTAAATGTTGTTTTGAAATCCAATCCGCATGAAGATCATTTCTCATCTACAGCAAAAAAAGAAACAAAGG